GGTATCTCTAATGGTAGCAAAAATCGAATCAACGATGAAAGTTCAATATATATTATGGAAACCACTGCATATTGCATTTCAAAAAGAATATCTCTGCATTCGACTATCCCGTATCACTATCGGGGTCTCCCTGGTCGAGCGGTAGCGGGTTCAAATCCCACTGTTACCCTGGATGTATCTTCGTGCTGTCCTTCTCTGTTTTGTGCTAGGTGTCCATCTATTTGACAAAGGTTCATAAGTCTAAATTGAGAACACAAGTCTGCAAATGTATGTGAAACCAATAAACCGTACCACAATCACGTATTAACCAGCAACCAAAAAGGCAGCTGGCAACAAAACTCTACCACAAAGCTGCCCAATTAATACAAGGACTAGGCTCTATGGAATGTTTAAGAGTTACTTTAAGAACTTATTCTTCTAAGCGCTTTCGTGATGTTGATATTTCCAGTTTTCCCGGAAAAATTTATATTTTAAGTTATTAGCAAAACTTTTGCTTATCTATTTTATTTTTGGATCCATAAATTTAATTTAGAATGTTTTTTATCGTCACTACTTTTGATTGCATTAAATATGTATAAAAATACGCAGTATTAAAGCAAAGGTTTTTTTTCCTTCGCAACCTAAAAATATTTTTGACTACTACTGGTTTTTAAAATTTTTTTCATTGCCACTTGGGAAAATCATTTTTGTAAAGAACAAAATTCGTCAAGTGTTCTACTATTGAAACTTTCTAAAACCCGTAAACTCATAGGTGGCATTCTGACATCATAAATATTTCAAGTGTTGGTAAATTTTCCGTTTTACTAATCGATTTTTGTTTAACACGTTCACGCCGGGAAAAGTGAAATTACTGGTAGAAGAACTATTTCAATATTAGATAATACTCGGGAGGAGTTAATCTATTCTCAACAATAACAATTCACTGTAAGGAAATTTATCATGGCGAAGAAGCAATTCAATATAAAAATTGCATCTGTTAAAAATAATTTGTAGTTATGGAATTTTATTATTCCCGGAAAAAAACTAAAAAATGAAATTTATTGTTACCAGTTTTTACTCCGGTGCGCTGCCAAGATGAGACAATCTAGCGTGACCCACCGGTGGGTCACCCCGACGTGAACGTGCTAAAAAAATTTGAAAAACAATAAGTATAACTATTACGATATCTAAGCATATACATAAGATCTAATCTGGAATTGCTACTATTTCAATCGCTGCATTACTTTAGAAGCGATGCATCTTTAGAATACAAAATCTTTTTAATTTTTCTTTTTATTCTAATTTTTATTCAAGTCAGTAGAAAAATAACCGCCTTAAAGATAAAATTTTCAAGATGATGATAAAAGGTCCGTTAACGGCCTTAGGCACTCAGATAAATGTTGATGTTATCATTAATTGGGAAAAAAAGGTGTTTTAAACGTTTCATAATGCTGATCGATATTTAATAGGTTTTAATATCTCTTTAATTTTAGGAATTCTGAAAGTCAGTTGTCTCATTTAATTACATTTTCCTTTGCTTAGCTTATTTCTTTTTAATAATTAACAATTCGTGTAAAGATTTGGGATACTCATGAAATACATGGAAATTTAAGCATTAATTAAAAACAAAAACACATAATTCTGATGATTAGAAAGTTTTGCTAGTTTAACCCTTTGACTCAGGTGTGTGACCGGTTTATCCATTTTTTTTACGCTCTAATTACTGGAAAAAAATATTTTCGTATTTTTTAATTATAAGAAAACAGTCTAATAGTTAATAAGAAACTGTTATTATTGGAACTATATTTGAACTTTTTAAATATAAAATTCTAAAGAAGTAGTTTGAAATTTTTTTAAAATTTATAGTCAAAAATTTATCAGTAATTGGTTTTGTAAATTAAAGAAATTTCAATAATGAATAATTGTTTCTCTTAGACCTAAATAACTGCAAATAAGTGCAAATTCGAAAATTTTTTGTTTGGAATTGAGCATGTTTGGAAGGTTTTAGATTAAATGAAAAAAAAAAAAAAAAGACACCGGTGTTTCATGCTGTATTTCATAACCATAAACTATTAAAATGTTTTGAATAACATTATCACTTATTTTTACCTAAATTAATACAAAATAATGAACAAAAATGAAAAATATATTTAATAAAAATTCTCAGTCAAGTGATTAAAATTGACGTCCAGTATATCAGAATCAAGTAGAAAAAGCATATAAAAATGTGTGGTAATGTAAGCTAAATAGAAAAAGGTATTTAATAAAGCATTTCACTGAAACTGGCATAAATTCTGTATTATTTAACAGTGAACGAAAATAGGAAATTATTTTATATCTCTTATTAAAGAAAAAAAAATCTAATATTTTATTAAAGAAAAACTTTGCCTACATGCATGCAACCATATTTCTTCTCAGTATTTCATCTAAACCCTGAGGTTAAAATATCGCACAATTTTTCATAGAATTAATAAAGCTGTTGTTTCTTTCGAAAGTAATTGTAAGGAAAATCAAAAATTGATGCTTTCTGGCAAGAAGAAGAATTAAAAAAATTCCCCAGAAAATAACCATAAGTTCAAGGAAGCTATTTAAAAATAGGCTCGTTTAATAATGCTACAAACTTTTTCGACTAATACAATATTTTACGTTACAATTTTCAGCATTAATTAAATAAATTTTTTGAAAAATTATTCAGGACATTTGATCGTTGAAATTACTTAATGATTTGAACTAACCAAACTTTGAGTCACTATTTCTTAATTTCAAACTAATTTTAAACTTGCAAATTATTAATTGAACAAAAAGACATCATTTTCAAAATCTTTAAAAAGGGTTAGAAATATATTATTATGTATTTCTTCATTATAAATTAGTATTTTGCGTCTTGAGTTCAAAGAAAACTGATTAAATATCAAAATATTTTGACACCATATTTTTAGTTTTACCAAGAAAAATGAAACAGCCGAAGATGCTGCTTGACATTCTCTTTTCGTCAAATTCTTCAATTTTACAATAAGTTATAAATCCCCCCCCCTCTTTTTGAGTATTTGTTTTTAAAGTAATAATCTATTGTATGTCTACTAACTTTCGCACTTCCCATGAGCGTTTTTGTTAAGTCGTTGGGAACTGCGATTAGAAAAATCAATTGTAAGAATAAAGATTTTTTATATATCGTACAAGCTGAAACATTTATCTATATGTATATGAATCTCTCATTTATGCATATTTAGTGGTGGTTAGAATGTAAAAATCAAAGAATGAAATATAAAAGCACTAGAATTGTTAAACATGAAAATTAAATGCTCCAGGAAATCCAGATGAATTGGTAGCTATTTTTGGTACCAATTCAAATCCAAAAATATAAATTCATACTTTTATATTTTTGGATTTTTTATTTTAGAGACAATTTTTGGTACTTTTCTATTTCGTTGGCTCGGGCGATAAAGTCACCACTGCAAACTTAGTACAAATAAATTCAACTTTTTTTAAATAAATAAATAGATAAAATAGTCGAAATTACTGTGGAAATGGAAAAGTGCTGAATTAATGGAAAAGTGCTGAATTTTATCTCACAGTCAGCAACATTTATGTTTAAACGTATAAATCGTAATTTAAGGTCAATCATAAATTTCTTTATCTAGAATAACAAAATAAAAATTCTAACAAACGTGAAATGTATTATTTAGGCAAATATGTCTTTAAGTGTTAGAAAGTACCTTAATTTTTAGAGAGTTTTAATCATTTTGTTAAAATTTTTTTGGGTGTCCCTCACACTATTGTGATACATTTTGCTTTGGCTATATTAATACAATATTAGAAAGCATTCATTTTCCCAGATATAATCGTGTGAGTTGATCATGAGATAATATCTTTTCATTATTTTACTTTTTAATATTTTTTTAAATAAAGTTTTTTAAAAAATATTATTAAAAATATTTTATTTTAATAATTTCTCGCCTTCTCTTTTCATTAATCTTTATTATATTACTTTTCAAGTTTTTTCTATATTTAACTTATTTTGAGTACGATATATACTTGCAGCTTATGAGCAGTAAATAAATTTTTCTTTTTAATTTTTTTCCTTATTTTTTATTTTTCTCTCCTTTTTGTCTTTAATGTGATATATAATAATGTGATATAAATCAAAAGATAATATAATATTAGTAAAGCATAATGATAATAAACTCTTGGAAGGTTTATAATAACTGAATTATAGTAACTGAAATATTAATTTTAAAAATTCAAGTAGTAGATAAAAAAAATTGATTTTTTTTTCAACGTATATAGTACACCACGCTAATGGAAATCTGTGGTTAGATGCCGGCAAACATACTTGTATCTATTTTAATTTTTTTTTTTGGAATTACTTTCAACAGTATCATCCACATTTACANAAAAAAAAAAAAAAAAAAAAAAAAAAAAAAAAAAGAGAGAGAGAGAGAGAGAGAAAGAATGAATAAGTACCAACTTCAAAAGAATAAAAATAAAATTATACGGACTGAAATAACTGCAAAATTATTTATGAATCTCAAGTAGTAGATAAAAAATTCCAATTCATTTTAATGTATATGGTTTACCACTCTCAGTCTCATAGTAATCAACGTTTACTGCCAGTCACAGGTTAATATNAACATAAAATATTGTATATATATATAATATTGACCGTTTTCTTCTTATTCACGAAACAAAGTTAATAAAGTAAAGGTAGTAAAAAGAGCAAAAAATAGATAAATGAGTACCAACTTCTAAAAATTAATTTAATTATAAAATGTGCAATAACTGCAATTTTAATAAAAGATCTTAAGTACTAGAATTCTAGATAATAAAGATCTCGAGTAATACAAGAAAAATTGCATTTTATTTTAACGAATGTGGTTTAACCAGTCTCCTGGGACAATATGAATAGCTGCCAGTGAGCATGTTAACATATTTAAATTTTTTGAACTTATTTTACAATATCATTCTCATTTACAAAAAATTAAAAAGATTATTTTTTAAAAATTGAATCAATTATTGAGTACCTTGCACAGTTTCTTGCTGCAGAAGTGGCGGGACACCCCCTGCTCTGCAAAACTCACTGCAGCAGACGAAAAGGAAGAGCACCGCTAAAGGAACATCCATAGAGATCCTCATCATTTTTCCGACCACACAGTGAAGTAGACAAACCACTGTGTGAAGAACAATTCCTGATCACTTCTCTTCTGTTTTAAGAACTTTCTCTCTCACTCGAAACAGGTTCTTTCTCACTGGACGACCCCTTTTCTTCACTATGTATCATCATCTCTTCTTGTTTCTATCGTCCTTGGCAAGAAGGGGTCATACGGAGGGGTCACTGATGACCCACAATTCTTTGTTTTCTTCCAGAGGAGTAACCTTTAGATGATTCCATCAGCATTTTTTGTTTCTGTTCGATGTCATTGATTTTTTTTTCCGAATGTCATTGATGGATTAGGTGGGAATAAATAACTTTTGTGTTTGTTGTCAACTTTATATTGTAGTGGTTGTCAATCGCTTCTGTGAATATTGTCATAACAAATGTAGTTTAGAGATTAGATCCATTAGGTTTAGTGTCAGAATAAAAATAAACAGTTTTAAATTATACAATTCAACTTAATTAAATTATAATCTACATGCATTGATCAAAGAAAATACGGTAAACACTAATAATTTTTTTGGGAACCACCTGAGAGCTATACGTTTGAGTAATACGTTTTCCACTAAATGTAATTGGATTTTGTTCTGACCACCAGGACTTACAAGTCACTCAAACGTATGTAAAAGATCTGATGATAAAGTAGTGACGTTTTCAAACACTAGTAAATCCATAATAATAAAATGAAGAGTTTTCCTGTGCGTGTCTTTCCCTTATAACTCCAGAACTGTTAGAGAACTCCAGAACTGTAACATCTTGAAATTTGGGCAGTTGGTGAGAAGGGCAACTCTAGTCTCTGATTTTAAAAATCATTCGAAACTTTCAATTAGATTGTGTTCGAGAGACATTTGGAAAACAGAATTTTCTTAGTTTGGAACTAGCTATTACGGAGATTTCGCACATTTACATTAACCTCTATACGATCCCGTGTGTAGGTTTTAAGCAAATGCGAATGCTTGCGCTTATTCTAGATGCTACGTATTTGTACGTTATGTTGGCGTAATTTACGTCATAACACTCACAACAATGTATGCATTTTTGCCAATTATAAAGGCTTCAGCTTTTTGCCAATTCTAAAGAGCATTGGTTTTATTGTCCATTTTTTTTAAAAAAATTGCTTTCACTTATAAGTTCTTTAAAGTCAAACTGCATCACTCAGTGGAAAATTCATGACAAACATTTTTGGAATTAACTTCTGGGAATTTAAATATTGATTGAGTAAAAAAAAAAAAAAAATGAAACTCCTTAACACATTTTTTGGGTTGTACTAGTTTAAAAGATGTTTGAAACTGTTTCGACAGTCTAGGGTTGGGAAAAAATCAAATATATTTTTGAAAACAGAGCAAACTAGTTTACTGTCATATATTTTATTCATAATAATTACAGAGATGCCAACTGCTCCGGACACGCCAAAATAATTAAAATAACAGTAAATAACTACTAAGCAAATTTTGCAAATATTTGGCTATTTTTCCTCGCTTTTTAAAAGTTATAGCACGACATTAGTACTATAAAGTGGTGAATTATATAATGCTACGAATCATTTAGAAATAGTGGTGGATAAAAATCTACTGAATTGAATTTATTAAACCAAGAACTACCACTTTAAAATATATATTTGCTGTCCGGAGCAAGTTGGCATCTCTGTAATTAAATTGTCTAACAAAACTAATATTTCAACAATCAGTTATAAAATAAACTAGGTCGAATAAAAAGAAAGTGCTTTAAAATTAAATATTAAATTAAAATATTTAGCTCATTAAAGAATGTTTAAAATTTCTTATAAATTTTTCGAATCAAGTTACTTAGTGAAATTAATAACGCTTTAAACATTTCCAAAAAATTGAAGACTTTTCATTCTTTCAAGGGGCCTCTAATTCCAGTGCCTCCCTGGGCCCTAAACTTTCAGTCCGACCCTGTCAATATGTTTTATTTTATTAAGATGATACAAACATATGTCAATGTATCAATGTATAAATTATATTCTTTACTTTTTGAATTTTTTAAAGGAAATATTATAATCAAATTCGATAACATGTAATATTTTCGAATTAATATATGTAATACATGTAACATCATGTAATATGTGCAAAAAAGTTATGAATAATACATATAGTCGTTAGATATTTATAAATTTTATTTTAAACAAGTTGCAAAAGCCAATTTTTTTTCATTTACATTCTTATTTTATACAACATAGAATAAAGAATTAAAAAAATTGAAAGAATATAAAAAAAGGAGGGTACAAACAAGAATTGTTTCTCTGTGTGCCTGAGGTGCGTTAGAACAATTTTACGGCTCTAATAAAACAAAAGTGTTCTTTCGTGTTTTACGACTTACGAGTAATCGATTCTAAATGAGCTCAATTGGTGGATAGAGTTTTATTTATCAAGGAATGGGTTATACTGAAAAAAGAAGAAAAACTGGGGGGAGGGCAATTTAGTTTTTCCTGTTTCTTGAACTATCGAACTGTGAACTTCGACACATTACAAAGAAACTGACTCTATAAAAATAATACATACTTCTGTAACTTAAAACAAAAAGAATATCATATAGGTCAATATTTAGTGTTATTTTAGAAGAATTGTAAAACACTCCTTTTTCTAACAATGACCTTTGTTCATTTTGTGTAGGACTATTATGCAGGAAGAACTTTATTGCTTATGGAGATCAGGGGCGTATGAAGTATTTTGCCATGTATTAATACATAGCAAAATGTAAAATTTGAGCGAAATCGGTATAGTTCCTGAAAGATTGAATTTTGTGAAAGTCGAATGTCTTAAAATCGATTTTTCAGGAAATATTTGACCAGTTTCACTCAATTTTTATACATTACAAATCCAAAAGTTTTGGACTGTTATTAAATAAAATAATAAAAAATAATAAATATTTATTAAAAGTCATATTTTGCACGGAATTTTATAGTTATACGAGTTTTATAGTTACGTGCAAAAATTTTTCAATTCGCTTTAAAAGTTTTTGAGATAATGGTGAAATAAACAAAAAGAAAAATTAACATTAAGGGGTCCAAACTTTGCGTTGTTCTCCTGACCAAGATGGTTAGACCATATTTCCTAGATTGCGACTATCCCCTATATTTTGGGGTTCAGAAATCTGAATCTGTCTAAAAAAAGGTATATTTATTCAGAGAAATTAGGTTCTTGAGTCTGATTTTGTAACATAAAATATTGTTTGCACTAATTATTTTGCTTATTTGAGAATTAAAATTGAATAATGTTATTTAAGGTCCGTTTTTCATATTTTGCTCGCCTTACATAATTACATAACGTATTAACGTGTTACATAACATAGATTATTATTAAAAAAATTCGAGAAAAACAATAAGAATTTAGAAATGAAAGAGGAAAAAAAAGCAGAGATTAATTATCGTTGACATAATTTAATTATTTACACTTTAATCTGTAGCAACTGCTAAGTAGAATGCAAAAGCAACTAACATAATCTTCGCACCTGTTTCTCTCACCTTTTATTTTCTAATTAGCTGACAAAGTTTGTTATTTGATGATTTAGGTGCTCAGTAATTAGTTCCACATGCACAGAACAAAAAGTGGAAGTCGTTAGATCAGATGCTTATCGGATACTTTCTTTTGAAGTCTCATGCGCTGGTTCTGAAAAGAGAATTTTCATTTAAACGCGGTTAATGTTCTTTTTTTTATTGTTTACACATCGGAAGTTTCCTTGATGACTAAAATTACGGTGATTTTATTTGGTGATAAATGAAACATTCTCAATGCTTTTAGATTGGCAAAGGTATGCACAAAAAAATGCTGGCATATTTTGGCGTATGTTTTGGTTTGTTGTCCAAGCTTTAAAGCAATCTTTTCTTTAAAAAAACATAAATTGCTTACTTGTGTTTGATCTTATCATTTTCTCATTAAATGTAATCATTATAATTTTAAAACAAAACATCTATCAGTGATAATTGGGAGAATCGTATAAAACATTTCCTTTTCTAGAAACTAATCGTAAAAAAATTACAATAATTAATGGTTATTGTTTAAATAAACTTAAGAAAAAAAGATGTAGGTTAAGTTCAATGTGTTAACAGAACTGCCAACTTGTAAGGTTTTGGCGAAACATTTTATAAAGTGGTAGACAATAGAAAACTAAAGTTTTAAGAATTGTGATTCATTTCGCCAACATTTCAATAAATTCACCATGAACGAATAGATAAAAAGGCATTTTTATATAAACTTTTAAATCATTCTAAGGTAGTGGTGAAGAACTTTAAATCAAATTTACTAAATAAAGAATCATAGATCAAAACATAAAATTTGCTACAAACATTTGCAGAAGAAGAAAGCTGGCAACTCTGCGTTAATTTAACTATTACATTAATAAATTAATTTAACAATTACTTCTCGAAGCAAATAAACAATTCGTTCGTTCGTTGTAGTGGCACTAGGCATCTGAGGCCTTACGGACCTTTTCCCATTCATCCTGAAATTAGACTAAGAAACATACATGACAAAAATAAAGTTTGGGGAGCAAAATGGAATTCTTGAGAGGAAAAAAAATGGCACTTTGTCATTATTAGGTAATAACAAAATTACAAGTAATAAAAAGTACACAAAAAAGGTAAAATTTAAGTACAATGGGAAAATAAACACTAATGAATATTTACAGTTTGGGAATACAAACAAAAGTGGGGCGGATTAAAGGAATGCGAGGATGTGTGTATACGTAAAAATAAGTGTGGCTCTGTTAAAGTAGACCCGGCTGTCCTGGTAGTTACCACTCGTGCTGGGTTGTTCTCAACACTTAAGTTACAGGGGTTAGCTTACCCCTGATTAGACCCCGAGGGGTTGCACAATTAAACAAGCCTATTTCTCCAGTCTTAAAAGAACTTTTTTGTAATATTTAAGGAGGTAGTAAACTTCATGCCATACGATTTCATATTTAATTTAAAAAACTCTATTCACGATTATAAATAATTTTTGATGCATAAAATTTTAATTTGCAGCGATAAACAATATTAACAAATATATAAGACCAACTAATCAACTAATCAAAAAGTTTTTAAGTTCTTGCA